TGAGCATCGCTTTCACGGCCGCCTCACCGTCCGCGTGCTGCTTCTTGATTAGAGCAGAGACGTGGGTCCGAGAATGAATAGAATAACCTGGTTACAGCAACTCCAGAATATCCTTCAGCCACTTGTACTTGACAAGGGCAATGGGACGTCCATCCGTCCACGGCCAGCGGGACAGAATCTCGGTGGTCGCCGCTGCTCGGGGAGCGGAACAACTCCTGGTCATTGACGGCTTGGATTTCGAAAGAAACGTCCAGCGAGGACTGGTCACACTCTTACGCTCTGTTTTAGGAGCTGCTTGGCTGGCCTGGAACGGATGCTTCGTCTTCAGGTGACGGTGGGGGCGCATCGTTGATGGCCCATTGTTGGAGCTTGCAAAGGCTGCAACACGCCGCATGGGTTCCGAAGTCCCGTGTGAAAAACGTCCACACAGAGGAGCGGGTCTGGCGAGAAAAGGGCAAGTCGACAACAGCGTCAGCGCTGGACAACTCCGGGACACTCTTGGCTAAAGCCAGCAGCTTTGAAAACAAGACAAGTAGTTGAAGTATGAACGGAGACTGCTGTTGGTTACTTCAGCAAACAGTTGAATGATGATGAGAAAAAATCTGCAACTTTAGAAGTGCAAGTAGACCGGTATTGGCAGTATCGCCTCGGTCACACATGCGTCGCCAAAGCGTATTGTTACTTACGCTTCCGGCAACTCCGCCCGTGCCGAAGCAAAGGCGAAGGCGTAAGTAACTAGTACTTGAGTTGAAGTACTACAGTGCTGGCAACTGAAATCCGACACCCCGGGCGGCGCCGCACGCCGCCCGAGGTGTTGGATTTCAGTTGCCAGCACTGTAGTACTTCTAGTACTACTAGTAGTACAGTGCTGTTACTCTTTGGCGGAAAGTTTGGATTTCGCTACGCCAAAAAAATGCGAGCGGAACCTTCGCTTCCGCTTCCGTGGACGCGCTTTGGCGGAACCTGCATGATGATGAGTTTGGTGTGCTAGTTGTGGAACTGAGTTCTGGTGTTGTTTGGTTGCCGTTTGCTATTCAGTTTTCACATCGTTCTTCTTTGCCAATGTACTGTACATTCTGGAGATCTTGCAAACGATTCTGCATCGTTATGACTATGTGAGTGGATAGTTGGTGAGAGAATCTGTCTCCCAACTCCTTGGCCTTGATCGCGGACGATCTCCAACTCTCTCCTTCTCTCTCCAAGCAATGCGTCCACCAGAGTACGCAACACTAGGACTGCAACCAGGGAGTAGTAGAGTACTCTACCACAACCCTCATACTAAATATTTGCCGGGTTGGAAGGTGGGATGCTATAACCCGCGATATTCATGTTAAAACAAAATGGCGTCACGATTTATTAAAAGTGGTATAGTTGGTGGTACGAGTGTTCAAAACCATTTGAACTTCATACTGTTCGTCTTCTTTTTGACATGCTCTCTTTCCATCGTCCTTAGCTTTTGTTTGTTGTGAGCTGTTTTGGCTTTTTTCTGTACCTCTGGGGGATGCCAAGTGATGGTTTTGAGAGGCTGGTGATGGCTGTGAGCGAGAGTTTGCCGATCGGCGTCGTCCTCGCTATAGCGATGAAAATACTAGTTACTGCGCACCTGGCAGATATCACAACACGTCGGAGCGTCCAGGAGCAAAGGAATCTTGGGTTTTCACTGGAATCTAGTTCCTCCAGCATCGTGTAGCCCACCGTCGGTGAATGGCCGTCCAGAAAAGTCGAACCTGGTCTTCTGCAGCACCTCGCAGTCCTGCGAGGCACACCGTGTACGCCTGCCATGTATTGTACAAATAAAACTCATGCAGCAGTGGACTCTACAGTGATGAGTCTCAACCTGTATGCTGCAAAAGACACAGGAAATGTGACTGGTGTCTGAACACTCAGTGACTGGACGCCAACTGCTCCCTATTCTGTCCCGGATTTTGGAGTTCTTTGTAAAGAAGCAACTCACAGCATACCTCATGCAACATAGCATATTACCTAGCAGTCAGTTTGCCTACAGGAAAATGCACTCTACCGAAGATGCATTAGTTCTAGCCGCCAACCGTTGGCTGTTGGCCAAACAAGAGCGAAAATACACAGGTATTGTGATGGTTGACATGTCAAAAGCGTTTGACCGTGTCCAGCATCAACGTCTGATTGATAAACTATTCACCCTGGGAGTCAATGGCAGAGTATTGTTATGGTTGGCTAGCTATCTGTCTGGTCGTACTCAGCGTGTCAAGGTGTGTGAGGCTCTCTCTGATGCAGTCCCATGCTCAAGAGGTGTGCCCCAAGGCAGTGTTCTTGGGCCGCTTCTCTTTGTCCTTTACACGAGTGACATTTCCGACGTCATACCTTGCATTGTTGTTCATCAGGAGTTCGCGGACGACATCATCCTAGATTATTCTGATTCAGATCTGGACACTGTTTGTAAGACGTTGACTACAGCTGTGACACGTCTGTCTGACTGGCTCTCCGAAATTGGGCTTCTGCTGAACACCCGCAAAACCCAAGTCATGGTAATTCAACCTCGGGGACTCACTGGCGACATACCAGTCGTGAAATGTAAGGATCAAGCCTTAACTGTTACCTCCACTGCCAAATACCTTGGCGTAACCATTGATGACCGGCTATCCTGGCAGCCACATGTCTCCAGTGTTGTGCAGAAGGCGTCAGTCGCCATCAGCCAGCTATGGCGCCATGGGCGATCTCTGCCCATAAGAGCCCGCAGACTTTGGTACATTGGCATTGTGCAAGCACGACTAACGTACGCATCCAATGCATTCTTCCCGTCGCTGACACAGCAGCTGCAGAGTCGTTTAATCAAATCCAGCAAATCCGGAATTCGTGCAATTTTCCGACTCTCCAGCCGTGCATCCACAGCCCCCCTCCTCGTGCGCTTATCTATTCGATCCCTAACTCACATTTTTAACTACAAGGTTTTGTTTTTTGTTTTCCGTTGCCTACATGATCTTGCAAGTCCTCTTTTCTGCACCTACTTTCAGTTGATGGCTAACACAGGTCAAGCATCCCGGGATGATCGCCGAATTACTCGAGGACAGGAGCAGCGGCTACTGCAAGTGCCTTTCCTTCCTGGACCTTCCGGTCGTCAGTCATTGACAATTTTGTGGGAAGCACTCTTTGGAACGCCCTTCCCAGCGATATTCGCCTCCACAGTGCGGCGGTTGCCTTTAAACTGGCTCTGAACAGAATTAATAAAGTAATTTGTAACCACCTTGCTCGGCATCCCTAAACATTACTGCATGTTTTCTCGGTGTTTTCTTCACTGCATGCTTACACATACACACACCCATTTGAATTATATACAAACTTTGTGCTTTGGAATTATCATGTTATGATTCTTTTAAATATTTCCTTCTCTCATAATATTATATTCGTTCTTAGCAGGAACCGGAGGTTTTTCCTCTGGTGAGAAGGCAGAATTGCCTGTGCTCTAAACGAATTCAAATAAAAGAAACAAACAAACAAACAACACCCCAGTCTTCTCCTGCAGGATCTGTTTGACATTGACATTATGCAGTAGGTCGGCATTGAGCTGGTTTGGCAGCTATCGTAATAGTATCTGCCTGGTTGGAAGTAGCAGGTTGGCGTTTGCTCGTCGTCCAGTCCGGAATTTTCTTGTAACTCACGGTGGAGTACGCGCAGAGTTTGTGATCATCCCTGTTCACTTCAATATTATCAAACACAACGTTCCCTTTGTCACTCATCTTATCCTAAGTACTGAATTTGCTGACAATATTGCACCACACTTTTCACAACCTACCGCCACTGCTGGCGGTGGCGACTGGTTCTTCAATGGCGGTGACCAGGCTGACTGACTAGCTTCGAGACAGCGGCCTCGTTGTCAACCCCGTACCAGCCTAAATGTTGATTTTATCGATCCAGCCTCAGCGCCATGTTGACGATGCCCTAGTGACTGTGTGTCATGGATTGTCTTGCCATCAGCGGTCATTACCGTCCACCTTGGTGCAGCCCTCAACAACTGGCTCAGCCCATGGGAGTCTCAAGTGGACAAAGTTGTTGCCAAAGTAGCTCAGAAGATTGGTGCATCGTGGTGTAGGTGAGCACATAACTAGGACTTCCCAGTGCCTATTTGTCCAGGCTGCGATACTATGTGACATGCTGTACTGCACATTCTTTTCAGCACTGCAAGGCCGGCAGCCGGACCGACTGCAGGGGCCGCGCACATGCAGGCCGCCTGTTGCCAGTGCAGCATTCTGGAACGTTCCTTCCTTCTGAGATCCGTGGAATAATAACTTTCTTTGCTTCAAAGCAAGTTGCTTACATTTTCTGTTGTGCTCCCAGTGTCCTTACAACAATAACCTACAGCAATGTTTTATTTTCCTTTCCATTCCCCAACCAATGAATACTACAATGTCGATTCTATTTCTGAATACTTAAGTGTGTGCCCGCGCACGCACGTGTGTGTGGGTATACCTCACTCGCCACTCGAAGTTCTGTTCCCCATCACTGGAACACTGCCTGTTCTTTCAGGACCTGCCATCATCTGCGGATGGGCATTCAATGATTGTATTGTGTGTGTGTGTTTCATTCAGAATCAGATCTGCTATCGTTGCTATAAGAGAAAATCTGTGGGTTCACATCCAGTGCATTTGTAGATTTGCGTGCTTTTCTTGCCACGGGTGCATACATGAGACATTGTGTGGGTGTGTGTGTGCGTCTGTGTGTATGGGGATATTGTCTGTATCGGCTTTTGGTACTAATGTTCAGGTCTGTGCTTGCATGTGTGAACATGAAATTGTTCGGTTCTGTGCATGCTATTGCTATGTTGTATATTATTGTATGTATGTGTGCATTTCCACGAACAGTGTAGATGAGCGTGGAGAGTGCATTCATCCCTCATCAACTACTTCCCCTTGGGCTTACGAGAGTTTTTCTGCGTACCTCTCATTTTTGTTTGTTTCTCTCTGATACTGTATTGATGCCGGTACCTGTACCTCGATGTGTTCCTCTATCTGCAGTCGCCTTTATCCTTCGGTCAAGTTAACGTTTATTGTGCTCTATTTATCGTGCGAATCAAAATAAACAATAATAACACAAGTCATGCTAGAGTGACGACATGTGCGTGTAGTAGGGTTGATGCGATGGGACGTTATAATTAGGTGGAACAGAACACACATTGGGCAGATTGATTGGGCATCATTGATTGTGCTCAGTCTAAACAGTGAACATTATAATTATCTCCAGTGACAGACTGTAGCGGCTAGCCTCCAATAGGTAGCTGGCACTAGTCGCTACTGCTTGTTTGATAGGTGCCGCCAGAACCCCTGTTGTGTCATGCTATAGATGCACATGCCCTATTCTGGGGCATACTGAGGTACTTTGATTTTGTTGCTGCATGTAGACAACATCCAATAGTAGTACTCGTAGACCTTCGCTCTTTGTAGGTCAACCACCATCGCATGGATCGATCGGTGACTATGCACTTGGAGGTTGGAATAGCCCGCGCTGAACAGATCTTGCCATGGCCCAGGGAGTGAACTCGCTTACTCTACTATCCCGGTTTTAGTTAACCAGCATGAGTGGTGCAATTTGTCCATACCATGTTGCGAGCTCACAGTTGTTTGGGCAGGTTTTGAGCTGCACCACGAAACAAAGCGAAATAACGGCGTGACTGTAGAGCAAGGAAGCGGCGAGACGGCACTTCCAGGACCGTCGGAGACAGGCAGTAGAGATGTGTTCACAGCACGAGCAACCTCTCAAACCCTGCCGGTACTCCACAGTTACAAGAAAATGTCGGACTGGACGACGCGCCAATGCAAATGTAATAGTTTTACCTTGACACTTCTTGCTTGTCTTATGGTAACACCTTGTGTTCCTACTATTCTCACTCCTGCGTTTCTCACCTTTCTTTTGCTTTATAACCTCTGGTTTGAACATCATTCGACGAATTCTCCAATCAATCAAGTCTATACTGTTACACTGGTAGCTTGAGGATGGTTGAGATCATCGTTTGCCCTTTGACGTGCCTTGTGCTCCTGGCCGCTACTGCTCTGCTATACGCCGCTTTCCGTGAGATCCGCCGCGCTCGGGACAACGTGGCTGCTACAGTTGGACGACATCAATTACCTGCTACATCAAGCTCAAGTCCTCCGGATCTAGCCCCGTGTCGATCGCGTTCTCTCTCCCAGACAAGCCCGAGCGTCAAACGCGTTACCAGAGAACCGAATGTTTTCCATGGCAACCCTTCCGAGTTCAAAGAATGGGTATTTACGGTCGAGTTAGCCTTGAAGTGCTCACCTCAAGGTGACCCGGAGAGCCAAGTTAACTTTGCGGCTAGCTACCTCGCTGGGAATGCGCGTCTTTGGCTAATTTCTTCCCTGGAAGCAGGTGAGCAATTTTCGGATTGGCATTCTTTGAAAAGCGCCCTAGCGCGAGTGTATGGCCCGCACTATGATGGGGAAAGAGTGCGGTTGGATATGTTCTCTATCCAACAGCGTGGGTCAATTGAATCGTACGTAACGGAGTTTTCTCGGCTAAGTTTACAGGTGCCGGAACTTGACGAACTCTCCAGAGCCTTGCTATTTGTCAACGGCCTGCACGGTAACATGCGGACCTTGGTAGTGAAGGAACACCCCACTACACTGTCAGCCGCCGTTCAGTCAGCGCTAGCAGTCGCCTCAGACAGCCGATTTCAGCGCAGACCACCACTGGCGACCGCGCCGGGATTCGCACCACCATCAGGTAGCAAAAAGCTAACAAAACTAAGCCCCGAGGAACGTGAGACATTACGAGCCCCGGGGGGCTGCTTCGCATGTCGTCGACCAGGCCATATGGCCCAGAATTGCCCGCAGCATCGAGATCACCCAAACGGTGGACGTCAGTAAGGCCGATGCGATTACTGACGCAGCAAGAAAAGGCATCACCTGCGTGTAGTGTGTGCTCCGTTTCTACCCGTAACCGATTCAGTAGCCTCGCTGTGGAGGATGTTGACGATGATGCTGAATGCTCCGAAGCCAATTTCAAGCGAGATGTTACACCAACTATTGAGGCCCAGGTTACCAGCGTCAATGTGGAAACGGAACATGAGCTCCTGCGTGTAGAAGGCAAAATCAACGGTCGTCGCGCGCTTATGTTAATAGATTCGGGCTCGACCCATGATTTCATTGCCGAACAGTTTGCCAGGAGAGTTAACCTGCCAACCGAAATTGGCTCGGAAAACCTGAATGTCACGCTGGCTGATGGAGCATCAAGCTCGTTTCCCATGGAGACGACCCATGAATTGAAGGTTATCGTAGGCGACTTCAGCGATAACCAAACCTTCACGGTGTTCCCCCTTCATCGCTATGACGCTATATTGGGGAAACCTTGGTTAACGCGTAACAATCCAGACATAAACTTCCGGACGAATGAAGTCAGGTTGAACTCGAATGGTTTGCCTTGTGCGTCGCCCAGTCAAAGCGAACCGACCGCTCCTGTGGAGGCGATGTTCATATCTGGTCGTCAGGCTAGGCATGCCCTTAGGAGTGGAGACGAAGGTGTTCTGGCGTGGGTCAGCGTAGAAGACGGCATTGGCAAGGAACCTCCCGACAAATCCACTCAGAACGAGCACCCAGATCTCAAGGCCATGTTCCGTGACTATGACGGACTGTCAGAGTATCTACCTCCCTATCAGACCCATTACTAGTCGTGTCTGGGGTACCCCAGGGGTCCATACTTGGGCCGCTCCTATTTCTACTGTACGTTAATGACTTGCCAGCCCTTGTACCAAATGTAAGTCTTTTTGCTGACGACACTGCTCTGATGTGCTCCGACAGCTCGGCAGACAACCTCACGGCCTCCATGCAGTCCGGGGTCAACGCTACAGTAACATGGATGGAAACCTGGAAACTGAAGCCTAACCTCGCCAAAACCGAGGCCATGTTCTTCTCTCCCTCGCCCCCCACTCAGCTTCTGTATTTTCCTGGTCTAAATAGTACACCTATTAAAGTTGTTAACGAGCACAAGCACCTGGGCGTTATTCTCGACCGCCAACTCTCCTGGTCTCCACAAGTCCAGTCTGTGTGCAAGCGTGCGAGTGCGTCCTTAGGTATGCTACAACCCCACTGCCAACACTTGAATGATAACTGCAGAAAATTGTTCTTTAAGTCGTACATTTTGCCTATATTTGACTATTGCGATATAGCTTGGTGCGGGTTGTCTCAGACTTTACTCCACAGACTGGAAGTACATCAACGCTTGCTTCTGAAAATTCTGTTTCGAAAAGACCAAACATTTGCCTCCCTTTGTCTTTATAAACTTGCTTCCACGCACCCTCTTCTTGCCCGACATCAGCAGCATCTTTGTATCCTTGTGCACAAAATCTTCCTAGCCCAAGTCCCGAAACATATTGCCAAGTACAACTGGTTTGTTACCACTAGACCAACACGCAATGCCTTATCACTGCCCCGAGCTAGTTCCTCTCTGTTTTTGAAATCCCCTTTCTTCTCAGCATACTCCCTTTGGTCTAACCTGCCTACTAGCATTAAGACATGCCAGGATATCAGGAAATTCAAAGTCCAGCTTTCCACACTGTCTCATCCGAAGTGATCCCATGTATTACTAATGTGCCTCCCTTTCTTTTTCTCTCCCTATCTCCTTTCCCTCTCTGACTTTTAGCTTGCCGTGGTTGGCTATCACCTGACCTCTCATGTTTATTGGCAGTCTTCGGACGGGCCAGGAGATGTTGAATAAATAATAAATAATAATAATAAATAATGACGATCTTTTCCCGGATGATCTGCCAGCTAGACTCCCACCAGAGAGGTCTGTAGACCACGAAATCCGCCTGGAGGAAGGCTCATCACCCCCATCGCGACCTGCCTATCGCCTGCCCAGGCCAGAAATGGAGGAATTGAAGAAACAGCTCACAGAACTCTTGAAAAAGGGTTTCGTAGAACCAAGTAAGTCCCCCTTTGGTGCACTGGTGTTTTTTTGTCAAGAAAGCTGATGGTTCGTTACGCATGGTCTGCGATTGGAGGGAGCTAAACAAGATAACTGTTAAGAACAAGGCGTGCTTGCCCAATGTGGATGATTTATTCGATACCGTACAGGGCGCTAGGTACTTCACGAAACTAGACCTCCGATCAGGGTATAATCAGATTCGCATTCAAGCTGAGGACGTGCCCAAAACCGCGATTAACACTCCCTTTGGGCATTACCAATTTAGGGTCATGGGATTTGGTCTCACCAATGCACCGGCAACATTTCAATCCATGATGAATACGATTCTTCAACCATATCTGAGGGAGTTCGTAGTCGTGTTCCTAGATGACATACTCATCTTCAGCAAAACGTGGTCGGAGCATATGCAGCATGTCCGGTCGGTATTGAGCGTGCTCCGGGACAACCAGTTATTTTGCAAACGGTCAAAATGTGAATTTGGCGTGGAGAGTGTGCGGTTCCTGGGACATTGCATGGATGGACTGCACATCGCCCCTGACCCAGACAAGATTGCCGCAGTAAAGGTCTGGCCCGCTCCGACTTCCGTCACAGAGGTGAGGCAATTTCTTGGATTTACGAATTATTTTAGGCGATTCATAGATCAATACTCATCGCTCTCTAAGAACTTAGAGGAGATAACGGGAAAACATGCACGATTCGAGTGGAACAGCTCTCGGCAACATGCCTTTGAATCGCTAAAGCATGCCTTGTTGAATGCGCCCCTATTGCGGCTGGCTGATGTGAACCGACCATTCAGAGTGGTAACAGATGCAAGCGATTTCGCCTTGGGATGTGTTCTTCTCCAAGAACTAGAGGAAGATGCCTGGCATCCAGTGGCTTATGCTAGCCGAAAATTGTCTGCTGCGGAACAGAATTATACAGCTACAGAAAGAGAAACATTGGCCGTAGTGTTTGCGCTAAAGACCTGGCGCATCTACCTCTTTCAACACTTTGAGGTCATTACAGACAACATGGCGGTAGTTTATCTGAAAACAAAACCAAGCATTACAAAGAGAGAGGCGCGATGGGTTGAATTCCTAGCTGACTATAACTACACAGTCCGTCACAGACCCGGCAGAGAGAACCCTGCAGATCCCCTTTCGCGTCGCCCAGATCTCCATGAGAGTAACCTCGTGGAGAATGCAGTACCACGTTTGAATGCTATTGAGTATGCTTTAGCAATGAATGATGACGTGTCCAATACAATATCAGATGCCTACCAGAGAGACAAAGAGCTAACTCCCACCATAGAAAGATTGAAGCATTCTCTCCGAGATAATTTGCATGATCGCTATTATTGGGACGAATCCACTGATCGCTTGTACCTCAAGGCATCCCCCAATAACCGGTTGTGCATACCACAGTGCGGTGTCCGGTTAAAGCTCATTCAAGAACACCATGAGTGTGCAACGGCTGGCCACCCGGGTCGTGATCGAACGTACTTCCGCCTAGCACGTTTTTTATACTGGCCCCGAATGGGTCTCGATATCAAGAGATTTGTCAAAACCTGTGATCTCTGCCAGCGAACGAAGGGAGGTCAGCCACGAACAGGGCTTCTCCAGTCACTTCCAATACCTAATAGTCCTTGGCAGGATATCTCAATGGATTTTATTGTTGGATTGCCCCTTACTTCTCGTGGCTTCGACGCAATTTACACC